CCGTACTCTAGGCATCGTAACCGATCGTAATGGATGTCAAGAACCAAAATCCGCCAACGTTGATTCTTTACTGTGGCTGAAATATTCATTTTTAGAGCGTTAGTGAATTAAAAAAAAGCAGTATAAAAACCGGAATGTCCAACTGATAAGGCTGAACATTTTTTCACTTGTTCCATTTAAACTGGGTGTTCGGATTTATATGTCACTTAGCATATTTGGATATCAGTCTACGTCTCAGGAAATAAATTTGCGTTAGCAAAATCTGACAGTCGATGTTACCATGTAGTAATTTGTATAAATATATGATCGACGCCTGCTCTCTGCGCGTCTCCAAAGAAGGAACAAGTAATCTATTCAATAATAATGAGTAGCCATATCCATCAATCTTATAGCATATATACAGGGTGTGAACAAAAGTTTCTACAAACATGGGCAAATGCAGTTTTCAAGACATAAAAGAGGACATTTTTTTAATTAATATCTTAAAAAATACTCGATTCTGTTGAAACTTGACAGTATTATTTCTTGTGTTGAGAGGCTGATTTATCCCTGAATAGATTGAAATTGTTGGGTCAAGCGGCGTTCCAGGGGGCACTCCGTCGAATATTATTGGGAAAAAATGTACACCACTGCCTTTTGTATAACTTTAATATTTGTTGTTGCGTCTAAAAATACTAGTTCTTTGCCTTTTGTATATTTTGTTCATATCTCACTTCGTTTTCGGAAAAAAAAACCGTTTTATTGCATGTCACTAGACAAAATTGGCGTAATAATTTTTGCTAAAATATCACAAGTGCCTTGAAAAACAAAAACTCATTTCTGCATGGAGGTTTGTCGTTTGGGCTTCAGTTCTAGAAAAGAAGCGTGTAGGGTAACAAGGAGACTATGTTGAAAAATAAATAAAAAATTAGAAAAAATGTCTTATATCTTTGTTGAGAACGTCTAATGCCAATTCGCGAAGCTATGTGGAGAGTGGTTATAATCTAAGGAATACATACTGTCTGCGAACCCCTCAACATAGCCTTGCTTCATCCCCACATAATGCCTATAAGATTGTTCAACAGGTTGCCAATTCTTATTAAAGCGGTCACCAATTTCAATACTTTCCAACGCCGGGTTAAAAGTCTATGGAAAACCCCTTTTACAGCATTCACATCAGACTTGTGAATTGTATTAATGCAAACAATTAATTTTCAATCTGTTTTTCAATCTGCTCGTGCCTCTATTTTTGTATTATTTGTTATTTATTCACATCTTTTTAATTTGTTTGTTTATGTTGTTATTTTGAATGTATTATGTTTATATTATTGAAATTACCTAGTGTTGTCTCGATCACAACTTAGGTATTTTTTTTCTCATTCATCATTGACAATTTGCTGATACTTTTTCAAATCAAATGGCAATAAAGATATACTAAGTGACATATAAATCCGAACACCCAGTTTAAATGGTTTTATTTTAATAAAAGTTGGTGAATGTATTTATCTTACTGTAAATAACAAGTGAAAAAATTTTCAGCCTTATCAGTTGGACATTCCGGTTTTTATATTGCTTTTTTTAATTCACTAACGCTCTAAAAATGAATATTTCAGCCGCAGTAAAGAATCAACGTTGGCGGATTTTGGTTCTTGACATCCTTTACGATCGGTACGGAGACCTGTACGATTTCGTCAACTTAGTGAGTTTGATAGGGGCCGTATAGTGGGACTTCGGGAAGCTGGACTTTCTTTTCGGGCAATTGCAGTTAGAGTGCAAAGAAGTGTAGACACTGTGGTTAGGTGTTGTCAGGCATGGCTTCGAGAAGGCCGTACGCAAAGAGCAAGGGGCACTGGACGTCGCCGTAGAACAACAGACCGTGAAGATCGCCGCCTAAGATTATTGGCCTTAAGGGACCGTTTCTCCACTACCAGGTCCATTGCAAATAAATGGTTTGCAGAACACGGAAGACCTATTGGCATGCGAAGTGTTTACCGACGAGTGAGAAGTTTTGGCTTGTTTTCATACCGGCCACACTGGGTCCTCCCTTTAACTCGAGAACACCGACGTAATCGCCTTGAGTGGTGCAGACAACGGTCACTCTGGGATCAGGAGTGGAACAGTATTGTCTTTAGTGACGAGTCTTGATTTTGTTTAGGCATGCACTATGGTCGTGCCAGGGTTAGAAGGCGACGTGGTAAAAGGAGGAATCCACAGTTTTTTGTTGAAAGACATGTTCATCACACTCTTGGAGTTATGGTTTGGGGTGCTATAGCTTATGGTTCCAGGTTACTTTTAATCTTCATCAGAGGTAACATGAACGCGCAGCGTTATATCCACGAAGTTCTAGAACCCCATCTTTTACCCTATCTTGACACCTTGGCAGAGCCAACTTTCCAACAAGATAATGCCCGACCACATGTTGCAAGAGTCACAATAGACTTCTTTCAACATAATGATGTCACATTGTTACCATGGTCACCAAGATCTCCCGACTTATCATCAATTGAGCACGTGTGGGATATGATGGGTAGGAGATTGCCCAATTTGCAATGTCCTCTTCAGACTCTAGAAGCACTTCGAGAGGAGTTGGTGGTTGCCTGGAATGAGATACCACAGGAGGACATTGACCACCTGATCAGAAGCCTGCCTAGGCGCGTTGGAAAATGCGTAGCACATCAGGGTGCATCCACACATTATTAAAGGTCAAAGGGCTTTAAAGCAGTGCAATCATTTTTAAATTTTTATCATTTACTTATTATGCTTCATTAAGTACTTATACAAAATTTTATTAAAATAAAACCATTTAAACTGGGTGTTCGGATTTATATGTCACTTAGTATATTTATTTATTTTTTTATTTATTAAAGATAACACGAAGAATGAAGGTGTAGCCAACAAGTTGTTAAGTCAGAACAGGACATAACACACATCATATTTTGCGACAGTCCAAGTTTAAAAATCTTTCTTCCTTCGATAGGTGACCTTGACCATGAATATCGCCAAGCTCAGAACGCAGCGGTGCACGTCCAACAGCTACGAATATTATTAGAAACAGCATATTACGGTGAACGGCAAGCGGTGATTAATTCATGCGTATTTTTTATAATCAGTCGATAATTTCCACTTTATCTGAAACTCAAGAAACCGAACGTGTTTGACTTTCAAGGTAATGTTCTGCAACATTTCGATGTGAACCTTCCAAATTGTGATACCTATATCGAACGCAATTGCACAAGCAGATGTAATTTTTTATATTCGATGAGTTAAAATGTGTGTTTTGGGGGCACTGTCACTGAGATAACCTGCATGATTTAGATGCGGTGATTTACGATTGGTTTTAGTTTGGATCGTATGCAATTCGCTCCATAATATACTAAGTGACATATAAATCCGAACACCCAGTTTAAATGGTTTTATTTTAATAAAAGTTGGTGAATGTATTTATCTTACTGTAAATAACAAGTGAAAAAATTTTCAGCCTTATCAGTAGGACATTCCGGTTTTTATACTGCTTTTTTTTAATTCACTAACGCTCTAAAATTGAATATTTCAGCCGCAGTAAAGAATCAACGTTGGCGGATTTTGGTTCTTGACATCCTTTACGATCGGTTACGATGTCTAGAGTACGGAGACCTGTACGATTTCGTCAACTTAGTGAGTTTGATAGGGGCCGTATAGTGGGACTTCGGGAAGCTGGACTTTCTTTTCGGGCCATTGCAGTTAAAGTGCAAAGAAGTGTAGACACTGTGGTTAGGTGTTGTCAGGCATGGCTTCGAGAGGGCCGTACGCAAAGAGCAAGAGGCACTGGACGCCGCCGTAGAACAACAGACCGTGAAGATCGCCGCCTAAGATTATTGGCCTTAAGGGACCGTTTCTCCACTACCAGGTCCATTGCAAATGAATGGTTTGCAGAACACGGAAGACCTATTGGCATGCGAATGAGAAGTTTTGGCTTGTTTTCATACCGGCCACATTGGCCCTTTAACTCGAGAACACCGACGTAATCGCCTTGAGTGGTGCAAACAACGGTCACTCTGGGATCAGGAATGGAACAGTATTGTCTTTAGTGACGAGTCTCGATTTTGTTTAGGTATGCACGATGGTCGTGCCAGGGTTAGAAAGCGACGTGGTGAAAGGAGGAATCCACAGTTTTTTGTTGAAAGACATGTTCATCACACTGTTGGATTTATGGTTTGGGGTGCTATAGCTTATGGTTCCAGGCCACCTTTAATCTTCATCAGAGGTAACATGAACGCGCAGCGTTATATCCACGAAGTTCTAGAACCCCATCTTTTACCCTATCTTGACACCTTGGCAGATCCAACTTTCCAACAAGATAATGCCCGACCACATGTTGCAAGAGTCACAATAGACTTCTTTCAACATAATGATGTCACATTGTTACCATGGCCACCAAGATCTCCCGACTTATCCCCAATTGAGCACGTGTGGGATATGATGGGTACGAGATTTGCAACGTCCTCCTCAGACTCTAGAAGCACTTCGAGCGGAGTTGGTGGTTGCCTGGAATGAGATACCACAGGAGGACATTGACCACCTGATCAGAAGCATGCCTAGGCGCATTGGATAATGCGTAGCACATCAGGGTGCATCCACACATTATTAAAGGTCAAAGGGCTTTAAAGCAGTGCAATCATTTTGAAATTTTTATCATTTACTTATTATGCTTCATTAAGTACTTATACAAAGTTTTATTAAAATAAAACCATTTAAACTGGGTGTTCGAATTTATATGTCACTTAGTATATTAACCCAAAAGCTGTACCAGCAGTTTCAATGTTCTTACGCCCTTACAGTGAAACCTCTCAATTCGTTTATGGTCAACTTTAGTTTTGTTTCCTCTTTATTGCTAGCTACTGCAAGGTACTCTTCCTCTATTCCCAGCAGCATCTCCGTTGAACCATGTCACTCGCCTGTTTGTACCATACAAGTCCTTGTTATTTTGGACGTTATTTTATTGATTAATATTGAATGTTTGCTTTTATATCTTTTTTTTGCAGGTCATCGCCTCTAACCAACAATGTACTCTTCAGTGTTACGGGTGCCCACTAACGATGATGAAGTTAGCTACGTGAACACCGAAGACAGTCTCATCAGCTCTAGGACCAGTACGGAAACTGTCAATTCGGATAAGAAGGAACTTGATTGTTATTTGTCCAAACGGACCAGAAAGCTAGGTAAGTGGCAGGATAATTCCAATATGTTGTTTTTATAGAACTTGAGTTCGGGTGGGAACCCTATGCCGCCTCCTCAATTCCAACGATATCGTACTCTTAGAAGATCTGAGGTAAGATATATGAATTTCTTGATATACATGTACCACTCTATAAAAAATTTAGGCATAGATATCCTGTTTGGTATAAAGCTGAAATTATTCTTCTAGTTAAGGAAAAGGCTGAATGGCATAAGAAATATAAATTTTCACGCAATGCTGATGTTTACGAAAATTTTAGTAGGCTAAGAGCAACTGTTAAGCAGAAAATAAAAGAAGCTTATGATCAGTACCTAAACAAAATTCAAAATCAGTTAAAACATGAACCGAAATCATTTTGGGCGTTCATGCATCAATACTTCTAGGATTCCTGGACAAATGTCTGATGGAAATGAAATGTTAAATGATCCTAAACATATCAGTAATGCTTTCGATAAGTTTTTTGAGAGTGTTTACTCTGTACCTGATATTACTGATGAACAACTTAGTTTTGACTTTCACTGCAGTGTCTGTGAATTAAAGAATAAATCTCGCGCCCATCTATGATGGATTTTGGTAAAGTTTTTCATGTTTCTTTTGTTTCTGTTTTTTTCTGTTTTACATTTTGTGCTGTAACTACCATGTAAGCTATACTACTGCTTTTTGCTCTGTAAATGGTGATCACTGTTGGGCAATAAACGCATTATTATTATTATTATCTGAATTGATGAGCCAGTCTCCTTGTTGATATTCCAACCTGATTTTTGCTCTCCTCACCAATCTCTCTGATGTCTGTGCAGTAAATGCACGTGGTCTTCCACTTTTTGGGAGATTCAGACAAACAAACGTTTGCTTCCAAAGCCAACTTGATGTTATTTTGTGTTGGATAAAATTAAAGCCAATGAATTTTGTACGAAAACTTTTAGGACCCAAATATCTAATTTTTCGCAGTTTGTGTGACACAAAACTCAAAATTTCAACTTGGATCCATCAGAATCTTCCAAGATAATGCCTAGAATTGAACAAAAGATCCCAGGTCAGATTCATTGCATTTTATCAAGTGCAACGACCTTAAGTTTCATATAATATGCTACAAACTATACAGGGTGTTCCAGAAGTTGACGTCAAGCCGAAACCGGGTGATAGGCAACGTCATAACAGCTATCAGAAAAATATTTAAAAAAATTTTATGTATGTGTTTTGAAAATTATAGGTCTTTGAAAAAAATATAGAAATTTCACACCCTACGGCAGTCTGTCAACTCCTGTTACTACAAATATTTACTTTTTTTGGATTTTATTTTTACAATGTAATGATGAATAATCCATCTTCAAACTGGTGTCTCAACCTTACTGCCAACTTTTCTCGTTCAGGAAAAATTGCCACTTATTTCCCAACCAAGTATTCCAAAGTAAAACTTTGCTCAACTTTAACTGGCTGTACTGGAAAAAATGTACTACGAGAGTTTGGCAAGTAACCTTAAAAGTTGGCGCATTTAATAAGGATTCCAAAATGGTATAATACTTAGAAGATTACTCGTTAACTTATGCACAATCTTTATTTGAAGGAAAACTGATGAAAATTTTTCAAAATTTCCTAATTAAACAGCGATTATGAAAACGCACAAGGACCCTTAAGGATAACTGTTTGCACAACAGTGGGCGTCAAAATGCTGCTGATGATGATTTACCTTTACAGCAAATGCTCAAACTGTTTTCCTTCAGCCGCAATACACGCTCGACATCTTCTTAAAAAAGATCGGGTTATTAAGCGAGCGAATCCACGGTTATTAACAAACTCAGCTGCTTCCAACAGTCTTTGCCGTAGCTCAGCTACATTTTGAATCGGCTTGAAATACACTTTTTCTTTTACAGTTCCCCAGTAAAAAATCCAAAGGATTCAAATCAGGTGATCGGGCTGGCCACGGTATTGTACCGGACCGCCTTATCCATCTGCCTCAAAAGTTTTGATCGAGATACTCTCTCACTGAGAGTGCATAGTGCGTTGGGCAGCCATCATGCTGAAACCACATGTCCCTGTAAATACTCAGTGGCACGTCCACCAATAAATTTTGTACATGATTTTTCAAAAAATCCAAATAAACTTCAGCAGTCAAAGTCTCTGGGAACTCAAACGGACCAATTATTTTACCATTTAAAATTCCTGTCCAATGGTTTATCTTGAAGCGATATTGAGATTTATCTTCTCTCATAAAATGTGGGTTTGCTACGTGCCACTCGTGTAAGTTATGCAGGTTCATGTACCCATCTTTCTTAAATGTGGTCTCATCCGACCATAAATGTTTTTCAAAGAACTGTGGATCTTTCCTGTGCCTTTCTAACATTGTGCGACAAAAAGCAACTCGGGGCTCATAATCCCGGGGCAGGAGAGGTTGAACACGCTGTACGTGGTATGGATGAAGCACATCACTTACTTGCTATTGCACACTTTGATACCGATCAGTACTCCTTCGTTTACTGCGCATCTTTACATGTTCGTGCTTGTTGATTTCGTACTGTTACTAATTTTGGATTCGTGAACTGGACTGTTGATCGCTTGTGATTTGGATTTGGACTGTTTAATTGCTCTTCAAAACAACATTTGCTTTTCTTAGACTATCTTTGATTGTGTGATTGTGCAGTGCCGCTATGTCCGTGTACACCGTACAAGAATATGCTAACATGCACCTCATTTATTGGGAATGCAGATGCAACGCTAGTGCTGCAGCGAGACTTTACTGTGAGAGGTACCTGAATGCAGCTCGTCATCCAGATCGTCTAGTGTTCATAAATGTGCACCACTTTCTGTTCTCAGAGGGGGAACTACCAAACCAATCACACGGTGACGGAAGATCATTCCTTCCTTATGAAGACGTGGTGCTAGGAGCTGTCGAAGAAGACCCGAGTACTTCAGTGCGTGCAATAGAACTAAAAACAGGTGTGCCCAAAAGTACAGCCCATAGAATCTTGCAAAAAAACGTACTCCATCCATACCACGTACAGCAAGTTCAAGCTCTTCTGCCCCGGGATTATGAGCCCCGAGTTGCTTTTTGTCGCACAATGTTAGAAACACACAGGGAAGATCCACTGTTCTTTGAAAAAATTGTATGGTCAGATGAGACCACATTTAAGAAAGATGGGTACATGAACCTGCATAACTTACACGAGTGGCACGTAGCAAACCCACATTTGATGAGAGAAGATAAATCTCAATATCGCTTCAAGATAAACCATTGGACAGGAATTTTAAATGGTAAAATAATCGGTCCGTTTGAGTTCCCAGAGACTTTGACTGCTGAGGTTTATTTAGGTTTTTTGCAAAATCATTTAGAAAATTTATTGGAGGACGTGCCACTGAATATTTACAGGGACATGTGGTTTCAGCATGATGGCTGCCCAGCGCACTATGCACTCTCAGTGAGAGAGTATCTCGATCAAAACTTTCCAGGCAGATGGATAAGGCGGTCTGGTACAATACCGTGGCCAGCACGATCACCAGATTTGAATCCGTTAGATTGTTTTTACTGGGGAACTGTCAAAGAAAAAGTGTATTTCAAGCCGATTCAAAATGTAGCTGAGCTACGGCAAAGACTATTGGAAGCAGCTGAGTTTGTTAATAACCGTGGATTCGCTCGTTTAATAACCCGATCTTTTTTAAGAAGATGTCGAGCGTGTATTGCGGCTGAAGGAAAATAGTTTGAGCATTTGCTGTAAAGGTAAATCATCATGAGCAGCATTTTGACGCCCACTGTTGTGCAAACAGTTATCCTTGAGGGTCCTTGTGCGTTTTCATAATCGCTGTTCAATTAGGAAATTTTGAAAAATTTTCATCAGTTTTTCTTCAAATAAAAATTGTGCATAAGTTAACGAGTAATCTTCTATGTGTTATACCATTTTTGAATCCTTATTAAATGCGCCAACTTTTAAGGTTACTTGTCAAACTCTCGTAGTACATTTTTTCCAGTACAGCCAGTTAAAGTTGAGCAAAGTTTAACTTTGGAATACTTGGTTGGGAAATAAGTGGCAATTTTTCCTGAACGAGAAAAGTTGGCAGTAAGGTTGAGAAACCAGTTTGAAGATGCATTATTCATCATTACATTGTAAAAATAAAATCCAAAAAAAGTTAATATTTGTAGTAACAGGAGTTGACAGACTGCCGTAGGGTGTGAAATTTCTATATTTTTTTCAAAGACCTATAATTTTCAAAACACATACATAATTTTTTTTTAAATATTTTTCTGATAGCTGTTATGACTTTGCCTATCATCCGGTTTCGGCTTGACGTCGACTTCTGGGACACCCTGTATAAACATAAATAGAACACACAAACACAACATTAAATTGGAATGAAACCATCAATTCAATGATTTTCTCACGAAAAGAGAACGTTATCTCACCGCCACGCTTTGCAAACGATGACTGATAATTTCAAAAAAAAAAATACAGACACCAATTAATAATAATTTTGCGCAAAATGTTTTTTGTATGTATCGCGGTCGAATATGATTACATTAAGAATCTGTACGAGGAGAACGTTAAATTCACCCCGCGTAGAAATAACGCGGTTTTTACAATATTCCTGTTACACATACATTTGTTATTAAACTTTCAAGGACACGATTTGCAATACGCTGCGTAACAGTTACCGCGAGCAATATCGAGAGCAAGCATACATTAACGTTAGTGTATCACCGCAGATTTCATCTGACATTTTCGATTGGAAAATCTTGCCAGTGATCGAATAGAACGAGCAATGGTCTTTGATTGTTGATCAAGCTGTTTGCATGTATAATAATATCTATGTTTAAAGGCCACTAAATTTGTTATTCATTATATGGTGTAACTCTAGATTCTTTGATGAAAGGAGCATGGTCTGTAAGTGGAGATTTCGGACTTAAAAATCAAAAATTTGGACGCACTTCCCATGAAACAAACACAATATCCTTCAGAAATCTTACATTATAATAATCGTAATGCTTCAAAATCC